CATTATTTTTTTTTATTTATTTATTTGAGATGGAGTCTCGAGACATGATCTCGGCTTACTGCAACCTCCACCTCCCAGGGTCAAGCGATTCTCCTGCCTCAGCCTCCCAAGTAGCTGGGATTATAGGTGCACACCACCACACTGATTTTTTGTATTTTCAGTAGAGATGGGGTTTCACCATGTTGGCCAGGATGGTCTCGACCTCCTGCAGGTCCCTGTAGGGAACCAGCCCCCACACCCCAGCTGTTGGTACCCCAAGTTTGGTGACAACAAAGGAAAGAGAAAAAGATTAAGAATAAAAGTGGGAGCAAGGGACCATCACTTGTAATGGAGGCAGTGAAGGCCCTGAGCTTAGGTTCCCCACCTAAACTTAGGTTCCCCACCGTATTTATTGGTTACACTTTGAGCAGTCAACAGATGGTGGGGTGAAAGTGGGGAGGAAGTGGAGTAATGGTGGCGTGAATCAGTGAGCCGGAACTCAATCAGTGAGCCAGAACTGGTGCATCATTCTAAAGACTGATAACAGTGGCAGTTTGGGCATTTCACAAAACAAGAATATGTGGTTATCTACAGATTGCATTCTAGGCGCAGCAAGAGAGAGGGAGTCTCAAGGAGCATACAAGTCTGATGATTTTGTAATGCTACAAAAGGGGTTTTAAGTCCTTGAGCATGTTATGCACTGTAACAGAGTCAAGGTCACTCTGCACCTGGAACATGAAGGCTTAGGGAAGTTTGCCTCTAGAGGCCTGACGCAGTTTGCCACCGTTTATTGTTCCCAGTACTCGTAATCATGTTATGTAGGCACTCTGTAAGCCCTTCCTCCAACAGGTCCCTATTCTTTTCTTTTTGAGACAGTCTTGCTCTGTCACCCAGGCAGTAGTGCAGTGGCACGACCTCTGCTCATGGCATCCTCCACCACCTGGGTTCAAGCGATTCCCCTGCCTCAGCCTCCTGAATAGCTGGGACTAGAGGCGCACACCACTACACCCAATTTTTTTGTATTTTAGTAGAGATGGGGTTTCCATCTACTGACCTCGTGATCCACCCACCTTGGCCTCCCAAAATGCTGGGATTACAGGCGTGAGCCACCGCTCCTGGCCAGGTTCCTATTCTTAACTACACTGCACCCAACAGTGACAAGGAATCCGTGAGATTGTGCAATACTGCCACCCCTCGGCAAGGTGGCACAGGCAGTATGCCACCTGGGAAAAAACGTGGTTCCTGCCCACTTCTTCCAGCCGTCGAGTGCCCCTCCCACCCTCGCTTGGACCCTCCTCACCAAAACGCAAACAGCACCCTCTCACAGGGACAGCACATTCACCATCTTCAATCCAACCATGCAACTCCTTTCCTCTGCCTCTTGCCCCTAGTGGCCCTCATTTCCAGTTGAGCACTCATCTCACACTTAGGGCTAAAGCCACAATCCAAGGAGCTGAGAGCATTAACCACCAGCAGAGAGCAGTATTTCCTCCAGCTCCAAACTCCTGCCCTCAAGGATACTGGATATTTTAGACTCGATGGTCTCCAAAAGCTTTTATTATAGTATCTCAAGATTGTGGACCCAATATTTCTACAACAAAAAATCCTCATCAGATGTGCTGGCACAACCCACTTGAAAATGCTTTCTGTTTGCATATGCTAGCACCATTGAAGATTATATTTGCATAGAAAGATTAACACAATTGTAGGAACCTTCTAAGTCAAATTATTTCAAAATAGCCAGGTGCAGTAGCACACTTGCAATCTCAGCCACTCCAGAGGTTGAAGGATCACTTGAGCCCAGAGACCACCCAGGCCAAAAGTTAGGCCCCCACCTGCCACCATGTCTTTAAAATTTCAAGATAAAGATGAAGGAAAAGGCAGCTGGGTGCACTAGCTCACGCCTGTAATCCCAGCACTTTGAAAGCCTGAGGTGGGCGGGTCATGAGTTTGAAACCAGCCTGACCAACATGGAGAAACCCCGCCTCTACTAAAAATACAAATCAGCCAGGCGTGGTGGCACATGCCTGTAATCCCAGCTACTCAGGAGGCTGAGGCAGGAGAATCACTTGAACCCGGGAGGTGGAGGCTGTGGTGAGCCAAGATCGTGCCATTGTACTCCTGGGCAACAAGAGCGAAATTCCATCTCAAAAAGGAAAGGGGAAAAAAAAAAGGACGAAGAAAAGAGGGTTTGTCAGAACTGAGGATCCAAAGGTAAAAATGAGTCTGAGGCTACTGGAGAGGAATGACAGCAGATAGGACCCCACATTCCATACTGAGTTTAGCCTCTCTTGTAGGCTAGGATAGGCAGTGAGATCTGGTTAGATTCCATGGTGCATGGTTTAAAAAGATAAAAAATGTCACCTCACACCTGTTAGAATGGCTGTATAAAAAAGATGAGAGCTAACTAGCAAGGATGTGGAGGAAGGGAATCCCTGCACAGTGCTGGTGGAAATGTGGACTAATGCAGCCATTATGGAAAATAGTACAAAGCCTCCTCAAATAACTAAAAATATAAGTACCCTATGACCTAGCAATACCATTCTGGGGATACACTGAAGGGACCTGAAATCTGTACATCGGCTGGGCATGGTGGCTCACATCTGTAATCCCAACACTTTGGGAGGCTGAGGCAGGCAGATCACCTGAGGTCAGGAGTTAAAGGCCAGCCTGACCAACTTGGAGAAACCCTCTACTAAAAACACAAAATTAGCTGGGTGTGGTGGCACATGCCTGTAATCCCAGCTACTCAGGAGGCTGAGGCAGGAAAATCGATTGAACCCAGGAGGCAGAGGTTGCAGTGAGCTGAGATCACACCACTGTATTCCAGCCTGGGCAACAAGAGTGAAAAACTGTCTCAAACATAAAAAAAAATTGAGGAAAGCACTTCTCAATTCAAGGTTCAAGCTATGCTTGTGATGGCAGAAATCTTAAAAACCAAGTTTGAAAACCCAGTTAACTGCAGGCCGGGCGCAGTGGCTCAAGCCTGTAATCCCAGCACTTTGGGAGGCCGAGGTGGGCAGATCGCCTGAGGTCAGGAGTTCAAGACCAGCCTGGCCAACATGGAGAGATCCTATCTCTACTGAAAACACAAAAAAACTTAGCTGGGCTTGGTGGCATGTGCCTACAGACCCAGCTACCGAGGAGGCTAAAGCAGGAGAACTGCTTGAACCCAGAAGGGAGAGGCTGCAGATCGCGCCACTGTACTCCAGCCTGGTGCCTGGCGACAAACCAAGACTCTGTCTCAAAAAAGAAAAAAACACATAACTAAAACCTGTTTTGCTCTCAATTTTAGGCTCTGTATAACTAAAAAGCATGCTAGGCCGGGCGCGGTGGCTCACACCTGTAATCCCAGCAGTTTGGGAGGCCGAGGCAGGTAGAATCATGAGGTCAAGAGATCCGAGACCATCCTGCTCAACATGGTGAAACTCCGTCTACTAAAAATACAAAAAATTAGCTGGGCATGGAGGCGTGTGCCTATAATCCCAGCTACTCAGGAGGCTGAGGCAGAATTGCCTGGACTCCGGAAGCGGAGGTTGCGGTGAGCCGAGATCGTGCCACTGCACTCCAGCCTGGGTAACAAGAGTGAAACTCCATCTCAAAAATAAATAAAAATAAAATAAAGCATGCTAAAGAATGGCTGGCAGGTCCTGGCAAGTTTACAAGCACACAGTAATAGGTTGAGGGGCACTAACATTTTAACTCACTGGTCACACCCCTTCCCCTCCATAACTCATTCCCTGAGGGCCTTCCACCCTCCAATTAAAAGCGCTCAAGCCTCAAATCTCAAAATGCCAGTGACCTCAAGCCCTCTGAGTACAAGCATGATATGAAAGTGACCCAGCCAGACCCGTCTCCTTAAAGCAGATTATCTAACCAGGCCCCGTCCACCTGGCCGGGTCAACTTGGCTCCTTTAAATACAAGGAACTACCTCTAGCTCCCTCCATTCCCAGAAAACCTTCCCCCTTCTTACTATCTCTATTCCCAAATCTCTTCGCATTGTAGCACTTTTTTTTTTTTTTGAGACGGAGCTCGTTACCCAGGCTGGAGTGCAATAACATGATCTCGGCTCACCGCAACCTCCGCCTCCTGGGTTCAGGCAATTCTCCTGCCTCAGCCTCCCCAGTAGCTGGAATTACAGGCACACGCCACCATGCCCAGCTAATTTTTTTATATTTCTAGTAGAGACGGGGGTTTCACCTTGTTGACCAGGATGGTCTCAATCTCTTGACCTCGTGATCCACCTGCCTCGGCCTCCCAAACTGCTGGGATTACAGGCGTGAGCCACCGCGCCAGGCACAGCATTGTCTTCTTAAGGCCTAAGTAAATCAGTCTGAGATCAGAATTTGTTGGCCCCTTCAGGACCTCCTCCTGCATGATGGTTACAGAATGAAAATCCCCTAAAACAAAAATGGAGTCTGAACAGAGGACTCACTTCCGGCTCCCATTTCCTGGTTCTGAGCCTTTAACTCATGTACTTCTCAGCTGTCAAGTGCTCCAGGGTCTCTCAGGGTTGAGGATTAGATCCTGCCTCTACAAACTCTGCAGCACTCAGCAGGCACTAAGTTACTCTCCTTCCCATGAAAGACCCAGAGTGGCTAAGAGCTCTCCACCATAGTCAGATTCGAACAGTGCCCCATATAAACCCAATTTGTTTTAGCCTCACCATTAAAAGTGCCAAAAGAGCTGAGTTCTTTAAAAAGGTTAAACTGCTGCAAGGAATAAACTTAAGACCAGTATGCAAATATATGTGGTAAAGGAAAAACTCCCCAAAGCTGAGCAGATTTAGGCCGACACTCATGACATCCCGTGTTCTTCATTTCTCATGTATGCATCCAAGTTTGCCGTGACAGAAAAGTTTAATCTCTGCTCTCAAGAGTATCACTTGGCCTTCTCCCCTGGATCAAACGCTGTATTCCACTTCCTGCTGGGCAGGATGATCTCTAACAGGGAAACTGCCAACCTTCCCGACTTGCACATCACTCTTCCAGCGAAGTGAAGAGGGGGAAGAGGAACAAAATTTAACTAAAACGGTCATGTTTAATGGGAACCAGAGGTATGGTTACAATTACATAGTCCGACACAAAAAACCCCCTTGGGGTGATCAGGAGTTGGAAGGTTACAAAACAACGAGGGTAACACTGGGTAGAGGAAGAAAAGCTGTTCCACAACCTGGGGAGCCAGGCTAATACGGCCTCTCCCTGCGATCCTGTCTGTGCTCACCCCTGCAAAAAAAAAAAAAAAGTATCCATTATATTTGGGTTACCAGCCTCTCCAAGTCTAGATACCCTATCTAGCCCTCCTACCTAACCCAGCAAGAATGTCTTGTCTCAAGTGGGTCTACAGATTCATTCTTCCTGTGTTAATTTTCCTTCCCACCCCACTACTGGTTACAATCTCAGGTCTTTCCATCTAGTCCTCCAAATGAAACCACTTTCCTCAACAAAACCTTATTATCCTATGGCCTCCGTTCAACTACTCTTTTTTATTCTCATTTAAAGTCTTACCTGGAGTCCATCTTGCCAGGGCCAAAGCCACCTCTGTCCCCACCACCCCGGCCCCCTCGGAAGCCTCCACGGTCCCCACCACGGCCCCGGTAGCCTCCTCGATCATAGCCTCCTCTGCCACCACGACGATCATCTCCGTAGTTACCCCCTAGGACAAAAGAAATAAGATCTATCATATGTATTTCCATCCCTCTACCTTCCCAGAGCCTCCCTGCTGGAAAGTTAAGAACTCGTTGCTCCCAACTCCTTGGCATCAGGTCTGCCTTTCTTACCCATATGAGAGCCACCTGGTCCCCCTCCTGGGCCATCTGGTTTAGGGGCCTTACACTGGTTGCACTCATTCCTCCAAGAGAAGTTCATGTTCTCACAGGTGCTAAGGAGAAGGAAGACAATTAGTCTGGAGGAAGAGGCAAGACCTAGAATTAGGAAGAAACTACCATGACTTCAGAGATACAGTGAGGAAACTGACGCCTCAGAAAAACAAAAAGGCTTGCTTCCCCCAGTCAGAAGCAGAACAAAAACCATTATTACTGAACCCAATCCATTACCTTTCCCATTATATCAACCTTACATATGTAAGCTTTTGCCTAATCTGACCCCAACAGTGTGGCACTGACCTTTACTTCTCTGGAAACATCCACATACCTAATTACCGTAATATCAAAGAACTAAACAAAAATTAAGTTTCACTCACGGATTAGGACACTTCCAGTCACCAGCACGCTGCTGTCCTCCACCGCCACCACCTCCACTGGGAAATCCTCCCCGGCCACCACCACCACTGCCACCACCTCCATAGCCTCCACGGCCCATGGGTCCTAATGCAGATAAAACAAGTATGGGTCTGTCTGCTCCCCGCCAAGTTTGGTCGACCTAACCCGTTCCAGGCGCCTTTACCGTCTTCTGCACTCTCCCCACCCCCCAACCTTTGCAACCACCAGTAGGTAGCTCCTCACCTCCACGCCCTCGGCCTCCACGACCATTGCCACCACCCCGATTAAAGTCTGCCCGGCGAGTAGCAAATGAGACTTTGATAGGATTTCCGGAGAATTCTTTACCTAGAGAAATAAAGTATCAAGTGACTTTAGATTCAAGACCCATTAATCCAAAAATTCAAGCTAAGAGAAGCGTGCCTTTCTGAAATGGTTTATAATCTGACACACAAGCAAAAACGAGACTATACTTGAAACCATAGCTAAAGTGTTGGAAAACTCAAACTATGGCCTGCTTCCTAAGGCTTGCTGCCCTGGCCCCAGCCCCACCTCTGCCAACCTTCTTATACATACCATCAAACCAGTCAATAGCTGCTTTAGCAGAAGGTGGGTCATCAAAAGAGACCGTTGCCTCTCCCTTCAGCTTGCCGGTTTCCCTGTCTGTGTACAAATTAATCATGGGCTGTCCCGTTTTCTTGTTTGTCTGAAGGCAAAATGAGGTGACATCAATTTTAGAGGCTACAGTACTCCCATCTTCTTCCTCCAGAACATGAGGTTTATCATTCTCAAACTTCGGCTTCCCTCTTCCCAGTTCCCTCTTCCAACCTCACATGTAAATGTCCATTAAAGAAAAGTGTTTCTCACTCCAACATTGAGAAATAAACTAAATGTTATTATAGAGTACAAATCTCAGAATTTAGGGAACTCTTATCAGTTACACCTTTTGTGTTAAAGTAGAAATTCTTTTAGAAAACAGCAAGTGGCCAGACACGGCGGTTCACGCCTATAATTCCAGCACTATGGGAGGCAGGTGGGTCACCTGAGGTCAGGACTTCAAAGACTAGCCTGGCCAACATGGTGAAACCCCATCTCTACTAAAAATACAAAACTTAGCCAGGCATGGTGGTGGGTCCCTGTAATCCCAGCTACTCGGAGGCTGAGGCAGGACAATCACTTGGAACTGGGAGGCAGAGGTTGCAGTGAGCTGAGATCATGCCATTGCACTCCAGCTGGGGTGACAGAGCAAGACTCCATCTCAAAAAAAAACAGGAACTAAGGATCCTTCCTCAACAATTTAAGCTAGCAATAACCATTAAGACTTTTGTTTTTACTGCTAGCAACCATTAAGACTTGCTTTTACACTAATGTGTGAAATCCAAAAGCCTGCAACACTGACAGAAAGCACCCACTCCACAAGTACCTTAATAATACCAATCTGCTTGAAGTAATCAGCCACAGACTCAATTGTAACATTCTCGCCCAGGCCTTGCACGAAGATGGTGTTGTTGTCTGAATTATCCTGTTCTGCTTGTTGAACAGAGGAGAAAACGCAAATGTGAAAAAGTAAAACAAATAAAAATAAACACATAAGGAAAACCAAAAGCAGTACACCTAGTATCCATCAAGCAACTTGTATGATTTGGTCTATGGAAGACAAATGAAAAGAAATCCACATTCCCTTTTATTTTGAGTGCCTATATGCCAGCCATGCTGATAAATTTCAGGTTTGGTTTGACAATTATCCTTTGAAACACGTCAATACACAGTACAGAAACAAGAGCTCAGGAGTGAAATACCCAAGACCATGCAGGCAAAGTACATCAGTATTTATCAACTTTCAGTTAAGATCCCCAAATTAAGAAAGAAACCCATTTTACATTAAAATCTAGTACACAAACATCAACACAATCTAAACAAGTGAAATGCTTTCCTTCGTGTGGTCAGGTCTTTGTGTTCACTAGTTTTTGTTCACCAACTTAGACGTGATCCACATTTTTAAATAAACACTGCAGAAAACCAAAAGTTCTGAGTAGGGTCCAGATGCATCAGCATCACTGGGGACTTGTTGAGCAGATTTTCTGGGTCATCTCAGACCTCCTAAATCGTGGGGGGTGGAACCCACAAAGCCAGGTATTTCTGAGAAATACTTCATGATTACTTCTTACTGCTAAGGATACACGTAACTCCCTTTCTACCCTCATTTTTTCAGTTTCCTTTTAATAACATTTCAAAGAATATCCAGCCTTGATCCACTTTAGCTACTCTATTCATGCCACCTGTGAACTCACCGGAGTCATGACGTGATCCTTGGTCCCGAGGGCCTTAAGTGACATGGAAAAAAAGAACAAAACAAAAACAAAAACAAGGAAAGGGGAGCCGTTAGTCAACAGGAAAAAACGAACAAGGAAAAAAATTAACACCAAATCCAAATTAGCAAAATATCATGTAAGTGCTCACAGCCTCACTCCAAACCCCTTTCCTGGGTCACCTGCCCAGAGGAGAAAATTCTAGGTAGGCCCCTTAAGATCTGTAACTTGAGTCTCCACAGAGACAACTCCACACTTCAGAAAATGCTGCCTCCCCCAGCTCAGGCTGGGAAATGTCCTCAGCACAGACAGCAGGGGAAAGGAGACCCATTAAAGTGAACAAACCAACTCAGCTTGGCCCGGTTCTCTCACCCAAGAGAGATGGGCTCACCACGAGCCATGCGATCCAGTTTCTCCCAACTTTACCACCAAAGACACTTATCCCTTGTGGAACAATTTTTAATTTCATCTTTAGAAACCATTCTTAAAACCATGTTGTTTCCCCAAAACCACATGAAAATAAAAACCACACATAATAGCTATTGTATTTTTTAAGCATGTCCCAGGGAACAGACCAGAAATCTTATTTCCGTAATGCAGCCTCTATTTTGTTTTTCCAGAGACCATCTTTGACCAATGTTTATCTGAATTCGCCATATATAAATATTGTACCCACACGCAATGACATAAGTGTCATGAACCCAAGCCTTTGGCTTTAAATGTTGAGACAAATCAAGAAACCTTTTGTTAGTTAACCAAACCAGAAAAGTTCCAGCTTACTGGGAGACTTCTCAAATTTGTCATTTTTCCATGAATTCAGTGTGTGCTGTTTTAAGACCTTCCTGGTCCATGAATTCAGTTTGTGCTGTTTAAGACCTGGTTATTTCCCATGAGCCACACATGCTTCCAAACTTTCTTGAAGTAGTGCACATGTTCCTTCCCAGAGCTAGTTTCTATTTGCCCATCTGAGTTAAATCCACATACAGAGAATTGCAATCATTGACACCATTTCGTACTTTATACATGTATACCAACTTCACCATCCTCAGGGCAGGGCAATGTCACATCCCTCTTCCAGAATTAAAACATTTGGAGGTTGTCTCCCACACACACTCCCACACACGCAAGCCTTGGACACAATGATCAAAAGGGTCCTAAAGCCAAGTTGGCACCACGTGTTCCAGCACACTCTCTCCAGTTTCTCATGATGGTGGTCACTAAGTGCCAGGTGTGACAACACCCGTCCCAGGCCTAACTAGACCCCTCTTATTAACCGGGGGGCAAACCCATTTGGTAAAAGATGACTAATGAGTCTTACCCCTGCCTGCTCCAGGTTAGCACACACCAGGCAACAGGTGGCATTCTACCCTACCCCTTTTTGGAGGTGGTTCTGGACACCTCAATACCTTTGCACTTAAATTAACACGCTAAGACATCTGCAAATGAACAATCAGACAAAGCATTGCTGGGAGTTGGGAATTTTGGAAACTCTGTTCACTTACCACCAAATTTATTGAAGCCACCACGGTCACTTCCGCTGGAGAAGACAAGTTAGAAGAAAGGACATGAAGCTTCCAACGGCTACAAAAGGGTGTTTTTTTGATTTTGTTTAACATTCCCCAAACATGGGTAGGTGTTTTTGGAAAAAGATACAAGTGACTACTAAAATACATCCCTTCCTGACCACCCCTTGTCTGACCTTTGAGCGTGTCACACACACGTGTGCAATTTCTCAGACACAGTTTATAAAGATTTTGCTTTAAAAGGTTATATATCTATTTCCTCTGGAAAAAAAATGACCCATTTTCCTCGGTCGTTCTTCCGATGGAGCAGATGTTTTTTTTCCTCTTGTCGCAAGTGGTTGACAACCAAGTAGTTGGTTTAAAAACCCTACCCCAATTTACCCAGAAGACATTTCACACCAGGCTGGGGTAGCCCTGAACACATTTTTGTGGTTTTTGCTTTGAAAGCAGCAAGCAGACCCAACCCCATTCCATAAAAAGTCAAAACCAAAAGCAATTTCCCCTTAAAGCAAGACAAACTTAGCTAAGCCCTGTCCTAACTACTGAGCTGTTTTTGATCTCCCCCAACCCCCGGGGTCACCCCTTCTACACTGCGAGAAGAGCGGAGTATTTTGCAATGTCACCTTTCATACCTGTGGCACATAAAATGCAGAGCAAGTTAACAGTCACATAACAGTTGTTTTTCTTTTTAAAGTTTTGCATTAAACACACGCACACAACAGAGTTTTCCTTATTTTTGTACGTTTTTGAGATTGCCCCCACCCACCTCTGCATACTTACCATATCCCAACTTGTTTTAAAAATCTACTTTTTCCAAAAACAGTAACACTGACACTCCTCCCCTTTTTCAAGGGAGACAGGGTAAGGTCCTTCAAATCATATTTACCAACAGATTTGACGGCTGTTTTAACATCAAATCTAAGGTTTTACTCAAATCAACTTCAGCAGGAAGGAAAGAATGTCCAGTTGGACAAATTGATGATTTTTAAGTAACCAGGGGAAGGCAGACAGTGGAACAAATAGTTGGGAGACCACCGTCAAGCATATTTTTGCCCAAAAGGTCTGTACACTTCAGTCGGATGGCCCCACAAACCAAGTCACACACAAAATCACTGTCAAATTAGCGCAAATCAAGCTCGTGGATTCAAATGACTACAGAAAACAGGAAGAGTAGCCAATTCCTAGAAGCTGAAGTCAGGTTAATCATTACCAACTCCCTAGAGGACACATGGGCATACACATACCAAGTTTCCCTACTATTTCCCAGGAGTGGGATCATCGGTTTCCCTTGCAGAGAAAGAAGTCTTCACTTCCGTGTTTCTTGCCTAGGATATCAATGACTCCAATCCATACATATCTATGTATGATTTCTTTCTCTTTGGAAACAAGTATCAATACTCAAAATCTCTATTTAGTGGTATGGATGGGAGTTTCAGCTCCCAAGTTCTCACAAAAATAAAATGGGGATGTAAAAACAGTCACTGACCCCAAATCAAAGCCCTCACAGATCCCTAGACAACAAGAATACTAAACCATGCACTAGGGACTGGCTTCAGGGAAATTCATGCAATCCTCCACACTCCCCACCAAAGATACTCCCTGGCTCATAAGACACCTACCCCATGCCGCCTCTGCCTCCACGGCCACCTCCACGACCTCTGGGTTCATAGCCACCACTGTTGCGGTTGTAACCACCACCACCACCACCACCACCGCCCCTGCCACGGCCTCCACGGTCTTGCTGTCCATAGCCACCACTGCCTCCACCACTCTGGTCTTGATTGCCATAACCACCACTGCCGCCGCCGCTGCCACTACTCATGGAGGACTGATCTTGGCCATAGCTACCTGTGAGAAAAGAAAGAATGGTTTTAAAAAGTCTACGGCCATACCACCCTGAATGCACCCAATCTCGTCTGATCTCAGAAGCTAAGCAGGGTCGGGCCTAGTTAGCATTTGGATAGGAGACCTCCTGGAAATACCAGGTGCTATAGGTTTTAAGGAAAAAAACAAACAAAAAAGTAAAGTAACACAAAAAGGTTCAACAAGTGCCAAGCAATAAAGGACAAAATAAATTAAAAAGACATATAGGGAACAAGAAAGCAATCCCTTTAAGCTAAGAGTCAAACAGGAGAATACAAATCCTTATAGAAAATGGAACTGCTGGCAAAGCTGAGGACATCTCACCTCCACCCCCACCTCCACCCCCACCGCTGCTGCTGCTGCTGCTGCTGTTGTACTGGTTCTGCTGTCCATAGCCCTGAGGCGGATTATAGGAGCTTTGCTGCTGTCCGTAGCCTTGCTGCTGTCCACCATAGCCAGATTGCTGGCCGTAGCCGCCACTCGGGGGCTGCCCATAGCTGCTGCTCTGAGAACTGCTCCCGTAACTAAAGAAAACAAATGAAAAACAAAATCATAATCCCAGCATACCCAAATTTTGTTTTTAGTGTATTCCATTCTCTATACCCAACATAGGTTCCCCCACCCCAATTATACCTCAAAGCTGCTCCTACTCCTGGGTCCCTTTATCATTCCTCATCAATTCACCCCTCTTCAAGCCTTCCCCTGACATCAACACCACTGTACCTTCCCGAGGTGCTGCTGGGAGCTGGCTGCTGACCATAGCCAGGGTAGGAGGACTGCTGCCCGTAAGATGATTGGGAGCTCTGGCTACTGCCATAGCCACCAGTTGAGCCATATCCCTGGGGAGCTGACTGAGTGCCATAGCCTGCTATGAGGATAAAAAAAGGGAGTCACAAAAGCCACAGCAAAGAGAAAATGTATGGAATGGGTTAAAGAAAACATATACAACCTAACACTCACCCATACTCAAAAAGTCAGCCTCTCAGAAGCCGTTAGTTATCTAGCAACTCACAGGCAAAAAGTTACCACCCTCCTTCTAAAACCTAAAGTTAATGCTCCAACTTCTACCAACTCTTTAGAACAGTTCCAATTTCACCCCACCAATCCCAACACCATCTCCAGAAACACCCTCTAATCCCAGGCCCAAGGATCCCTTGCAACCGCACTGCAATGTGCAGCTATGTGTGCAGTTTCTGCAGGACAACCACATTCGTTGGTTATGCTTCAGGACCTTGGGACAAATCCCACCTTCTTAGGTATCATATGATTTTATACATTTTCAAGCAAAACCATTTTCTCAATTTAAGAATCAGCCTGCCAGGAACGGTGGCTCACGCCTATAATCCCAGCACTTTGGGAGGCCGAGGCGGGTGGATCACGAGGTCAAGAGATCAAGACCATCCTGGTCAACAAGGTGAAACCCCGTCTCTACTAAAAACACAAAAATTAGCTGGGCATGGTGGTGCATGCCTGTAGTCCCAGCTACTCGGGAGGCTGAAGCAGGAGAATTGCTTTAACCCAGAAGGCGGAGGTTGCGGTGAGCAAAGATCGTGCCATTGCACTCCAGTCTGGGTAACAACGGCGAAACTCCATCTCAAAAAAAAAAGAATCAGCCTAACATTCTTCTTCCTTTAGAAAATATGCTCTCTTTCATGCTGAGATGAAAAACAGGAGGACCAAAAAAATTTAAAGCCAAATAAAATAAATGGAAACAATTACAAACCAATAAACATTTTTGTCTTTTTTTGTTTTTGAGACAGGGCCTCAATACACTGCCCAGGCTAGAATGCAGTGGCTACTCTCAAGCACAATCATAGCTCACTGCAGCCCCAAACTCCTGGGGCTCAAGGGATCCTCCTTCCTCAGTACTGTAGGTTTGCCACAATGCCCTGTAAAGAACTCAGACTCCCAAGAGTTTTGAGAATTATACAGTGGTTCAGGGAAAGGAAATATGGAACAGTTTCAACATTTCCATGCTGCTCAGGTTTAACAAAAGCAGTATTCAGAGCCGGATGCGGTGGCTCACACCTGTAATCCCATCACTTTGGGAGGCTGAGGCAGGTGGATCATGACGTCAAGTGTTAGAGACCAGCCTGGCCAGCATGGCAAAACCCTATCTTTACTAAAGATACCAAAAAAAAAAAAAAATTAGCCAGGTATGGTAGCACACGCCTGTAATCCCAGCTACTCAGGAGGGTGGGCTCAACGAGAATCACCTCAACCAGGAAGGCAGAAGTTGCAGTGAGCAGAAACCACGCCGCTGCACTCCAGCCTGGGTGACACAGCGAGACTTCGTCTCAAAAAGGAAAAAAAACAACATTCAGAAAGTAGAGGAAAAGATGACTCGCTGAGAGAGACTCACTGTTCTGGGTCTGGCCGTAAGAAGAACCATAGCTGCCCTGGCCATAGCCTGAAGTATCTGTGGACTGGCCGTAACCGCTGTAACTCTGCTGTCCATAGGGCTGACTGCTCTGCTGGGAATAGCCCTGTCCCGGCTGGGTGGGGTAGGCCCCATAGCTGGAAAAAAGTAAAACCAGCGTGATCAGAAAAAGAGGCCTTGACCACCGTCGGCCTCTACAAACTTTGGAAACGCAAAAATAGCACTCACCTTTGGGTTGCTTGTTGAGTATAATCTGCAAAAGAAAAATACAATCACATTATCTTCAGCCAACACTCTGAAAGAGTTGAATTAAAGCTAAATTCCTTAACTCAAGCACTGATGGGTAAACAGGACCACGTTGGCCAGGCAAGGTTGTTCACACCTGTAATTCCAGCACTTTAGGAGGCCGAGGTGGGTAGATCACTTGAGGTGAGGAGTTCAAGACCAGCCTAACCAACATGGTGAAATCCGTAAAAATACAAAAAATTAGCCAAGCATGGTGGCGGACGTCTGTAATCCCAGACTGAGGAAGCTGAAGCAGGAGACGCATATGAACCTGGGAGGCAGAGGTTGCAGGGAGCTGAGATCACGCCATTGCACTCCAGCCTGGGCAACAGGGCGAGACTCTCTCAAAAGAAAAAAATTGGACCATGTTGCAAAAAAGGTCATACAATTCCCCCATGAGACAAGAGCAAGCTGGCATATCAGCCAAGTGTTCTCATAATAAAAGAAAACAGAAGAAAATGCAAGTTTCTACAGAGTCCCAAAAGCCTTAACCATTGGGAAAACCAAGGTCTCGGTGGACAGCCACTTTCTGCAAGCCCAATTCATGTCAGTGACTGTTGCCCTAAAACACTGCACAGTACTTCCATCCATTCTATAAAAAAGGCCTTATCCCCAGGAGTCAAAATAGACTAACTTGCCCGAAGTCGCAGAACTACCAACCGGCACAGGTTTGAATTCAAGCAGTGTTCAGACTGTGGCCTCCGTTCTCTCAACCCAGACCCACAGAACGAGAATGTCTCAAAAAAGGCCATTCTTCATTGTGACCAACCCCGGAGATTAAGTGGGCTTTTTAGTGAAGTCACAGGATCCAAAGCCCTCGGAATCAAAAAGATCATCCAAGTGCTCGCTTTAGGAGGCGAAAGTCGACTGATACTCGATTCCCCAGTCCTGTCGCTCCAGATGGTTCGTTTTCTCACCTAACCTGCCTTCCCGCTCCGGGGGACCAAAAAGCAGCAAAAGCGGTTCTGAAACGCCCCACTGAAGATACACGAACAAGATCAACTCATCCACCTAGTACGGGAAACGCGGCGCTTCCCCCGCAGGAAAAGGGAAAGGCCCAGGAGAGGGAGTGGCCTCCGATGGAGATTATTCTCCTTCCCCACCTCAGAAGCAAGAAATTTAGGCCGGACGCGGTGGCTCACGGCTGTAATCTCAGCACTTTGGGAGGTCGAGGAGGGCGGATCACCTGAGGTCAGGCGTTCGAAATCAGCCTGATCAACATGGTGAAACCCCGTCTCCACACACACACACACACACAAAATTCAAAAATTAGCCAGACGCCTGCCAGCTACTCAGGAAGCTGAGGCAGAAGAATCACTTGAACCCAGGAGGAGGTTGCAGTGTGAACCGAGATCGTACCACTGCACTCCAGCCTGGGCAAGAGAGAGACCCTGTCTAAAAAAAAAAATTAGGCGGGAAAAACTCTCCAGCCGGGTCACCGATACAATACGTTGGTCCCGACCACCACCTCCAAACCGTTAAGCGGGAGCGCGGCCGCGATCCCGAGCCTCCGCCCCCGCCGCGTGGCAACCGAGGCGGGAACGGAGCAGTCCCGCCCCTTCCCGAAGGACCCCAGAGGAACAAGGCGTACACCGGACGCGCGCCGCCGAGTCCTCCGCGAAGGGTCTCGCGACAAAAAGCTGAGCCAACACGAGACGGGGAAGGGGTATCAGCGCCACGAGGGGGGGAGGGGCCCGCAGAGCGCGTGCGCGCCGCTAGTGCCCGGATGCAGCACTGCGACAAAGCGGGCCCGAGCGCGGGCCGGGAGTGGGGGTAGGCGAGGCCACGGAGACCAGGCGTTTCCACCCTCACCTCACGCTTCAAACCACCAAGAAGCGTCCCTCCCCACGCCCACCTCAAACAAACGGACTGGGAAGAGAAGACTTCCCGCCCAGCGCGCTAGGCGCCAGAGGAGCGAAACAAAATGGCGACACCAACCTCCCCCAGTCACCCCTCTCCGCGGCTTCCCGCCACAGGGATGCGAGAGAATCCCACACGCGATCGCCGCCCCGGTCCCACAGAAAATGAAAAGCCCAACTAGGAGGACTCGGCTCGGAGCGCCGCCGCCGCCGCCTCGCGCCCTTACCTACCGTTTGATGCCATGTCCGCGCACGCGCGCACAGGCAAGCAAGCAAGGAAATTCCAACTCTACACAACACCGACGCCTCGAGGACTGAGCAGCCCCGCCTCCTGCGTCGAAGCTTAAGTCTGCCCTGCCGCCTACGCACCGCGCAGGCGCACACCAAATGCGGAAGCGCATGGGGGAGGCAGGAATGCACTCCCCCCACTTCCTAGGGTACGTAGAGGATCCGAGCAGGTAAAAGGGAAATAAGTTAACTAAAAACATGTGAATACTATACATAATCATACTTTCTGGAGAAAGAACCTCTCTCTCCTCTACAGGATTAGCCCATGCTCTAAGTCCACCCCCATGAAGGCACAGTGGTACGGCCTGAGTGCCCGCTGGGGGCGGGGCGAGGGGCCCGGACAGTTAGGGATCGAACTGGAGTCACAGTCGGGAGTCGCGGGGTGGAATCGTGACTACTGTGGCCGGTCCCCTTTGCTGGGCCCCGCTTTCACCCAGGATGACGAGTTCCTGCCCTCCGCCGCCTTGCCACTGTGTGGGGCGCCTCGTCCTCCCGACCCCAGCCTCCCTCCTCCAGCAGCACACACTGAGCCTCCCTCTCCCTTGGGCCCTGGTGTTGACTTAGTCGTCTTTCGGGGTTGCCTGGCCTTTCGGCCTTTCTGGGGTTGGCGCATTGTGACGTTTGACCTGAAAGACAGCAGGTCATTTTGGCCTGGACCCCTGGGTGCCGGGCTGGTCCAGCACTGGGCTCGCGGGAGCCGCCGGGCGGGACCGCCCAGGCCATCTTTGGGACCTGAGAGGGTTGACCTCAGATGAAGGATCCGCAGCCTTTTCTCAGGGACCTCCTTTATATTTTTCTGAAACCCTACCAAGGAACCAGTGGCGATCCCAGAAATAAAATGTGCACAAGGCTTAGGTGGTTTCAAAATGCACAGATAATTTATTTCTCACCACAGACTTAGGAAGGAAGTAACGATATCTCCGTTTTCTGGATAAGAAAAGTGAGATTCAAAGACCCAAGTAATTGTACCTGATTACAGGGCAGCTAAGAGGAGTCGTGATTCGAATTCAGGTCTCGTGACTGCAAAACACTCCTCTTTTTGGTGACCTGAATGCTAGTGTTTGGTCGCCCTTTCACTTCCTGTGAAAGCAAAAGCAAAAAGAAAACTTCAAAGTAACGTGCAACTTGAACTTTCATCAGCATTGCCTGGAGAAGGCAATTTGAAACTTGAACAAAACAAGACAAAGGACGTTAATTCCTTTTTTTTTTTTCTGAGACGAGTCTTGCTCTGTTGCCAGGCGCCAGGCTGGAGTACAGTGGTGCAATCTCGGCTTGCTGCAATCTCTGCCACCTGGGTTCAAGCAATTCTCCTGCCTCAGCCTCCCTAGTAGCTGATACTACAGGCACGCGCCACCACGCCCAGCTAATTTTTGTATTTTTTAGTAGAGACGGGGTTTCACCATGTTGGCCAGGATGGTCTCAATCTCTTGACCTCATGATCCGCTCGCCTCGGCCTCCCAAAGTGCCAGTGGGATTACAGGCGTGAGCTGCGGCACCTGGCCAGGACGTTAATTCCTAATACACAGGCATGCAGGGTTTTTTTCCCAACTTAATCCTTGAGCGGTTTCGGAAGGTCCCCTGAGGGTTGAACATGTCTTTCTAGAGAAACAATGAGGGCTATGCCCTGGGCCGGTCCACAAACTAAGCCCCCACCAAGCCCTTGACTTCAGCCCTAATGGCCCAATAGCCACACCATCCCAGTTAGAAGGACAGTTCAACTCTCCAGTAAGAGCAAAAGAAAGGAAGTCCACCCTCATTCACTCATAAAGTCACAAATATTTATTTGGCACGAAGTATGTTCCAGGCACTGTTCTGGGCACTGGGGACGTATTCATGTACAAAGTAGATGAAGCTAACATTTAATAATCAAACTGGCCGGGCACGGTGGCTCATGCCTGTGACTCTGGGCCAGGCGTGGTAGCACACACCAGTAATCTCAGCACTTTGGGAGGCCGAGGCAGATGAATCACTTGAGGCCAAGAGTTCGAGATCAGCCTGGCCAACATGATGAAACCCCGTCTCTACTAAAAATACAAAAATTAGGCTGGGCACGGTGGCTCATGCCTGTAATCCCAGCACTTTGTGAGGCCGAGGCGGGTGGATCACAAGGTCAAGAGATCGAGACCATCCTGGTCAACATGGTGAAACCGTCTCTACTAAAAATACAAAAAATTAGCTGGGCATGGTGGCGCGTGCCTGTAATCCCAGCTACTCAGGAGGCTGAGGGAGGAGAATTGCCTGAACCCAGGAGGCGGAGGTCGCAGTGAGCCAAGATCGCGCCCTTGCACTCCAGCCTGGGTAACAAGAGTGAAACTCCCTCTCAAAAAAAAAAAAAAATACAAAAATTAGCCAGCAGTGGTGACATGCGCCTGTAGTTCCAACTACTCGGGAGGCTGCAGCACAAGAAATCGCTTGAACCCAGGAGGCAGAGGTTGCAGTGACATGAGATCACGCCACTGCACTCCAGCCTGGGTGATAGAGTGAGACTCAGCTCACTGCAATCTCCACCTCCAGGATTCAAGCAATTTTCCTGCCTCAGTCTCCCAAGTAGCTGGGACTACAGGCATGTGCCACCACACCTGGCTAATTTTTTGTATTTTTAGTAGAAACGGGGTTTTACCATGTAGCCAGGATGGTCTGGATCTCCTGACCTCGTGATCCGCCCGCCTCAGCCTCCCAAAGTGCTGGGATTACTGGCGTGAGCCACCACGCCCGTCCTCAAGGGGCCACTTCTCCAGGCTTCTCTCTCTCGGTGGACCTCTCCCAAGTCACAACACAGAAGCATCTCACTCTTTCTCAGAAGTCTCATTACTTGACACCCCTGCTCCCAGCATTTCCACCTTTCCCAAGGTCCCTTCCCTGTCTCCTTCCCTGCATTCTCTTCCTCTGTACGCCTTTGCTTTGCCCTTGAGGCCTAAGATCCCAGCTGTGGCCTGGTGTGAACTGCAGCCTACAGACAGTTTTAGTGTGGCTTGCATGTTTTAATTTTTCTAACTAGTTACCAACAGTAAAAATAGTGGGCTGGCCGGGTGTGGTCGCTCACACCACTTTAGGAGGCCAAGGCAGGCAGATCACGAGGTCAAGAGATCGAGACCATTCCGGCCAACATGGCGAAACCCCCTCTGTACTAAAAATACAGAAATTAGTTGGGCGTGGTGGTGTGCCTGTAGTCCCAGCTACTCAGGAGGCTGAAGCAGGAGAATCATTTGAACCCTGGAGTTAGATTGCAATGAGCCAAGATCGTGCCACTGCAGTCCAGCCTGGTAACAGAGCAAGATTCCGTCTAAAAAAAATATATTGGGCCATTCTAGGCCCACTTCCACAGGGCAAAGATCAGCTAGAGTGAGGCACTGTCACCTTTACCTGCTGTATGTGCATAAAGTTTACTGTAAATGTCTTCTTTATTTCCTACCTCTACCAGGAAAGTCAATTTTAACTTGTACTTTTTTGAGACAGGGTCTTGCTATGTTACTCAGGCTGGTCTTGAACTCCTGGGCTTAAGGGATCCTTCCAGAGTTCTGGGACTAAATGTGTGACCATCACACCCAGCCTCAATTAACATGTATATCAGATATTTATTTATTTATTTATTTTTGAGATGGAGTCTCCCTCTGTCACCCAGGCTGGAGTACAATGGCATGATCTCAGCTCACTGCAACCTCTGCCTCCACTGCAACCTCTGCCTCCACTGCATCCTCTGCCTCAGCCTCCCGAGAAGCTGGGATTACAGATGTGCACCTCCACACTCAGCTAACTTTTTTAGTAGAGAAGAGGTTTTCCTATGTTGGCCAGGCTGGTCTCAAACTCCTGACCTCAAATAATCTGCCTGCCTTTGCCTCCCAAAGTGCTAGAGTTCACAGTTACAGGAATGAGCCACTGCACTTGGCCTAGATCAGATATTTAATGCAATTTTTCTTTTTCTTTTCTTTTTTTTTTTTTAGAGTTAAGATCTCAATCTGTCGCCCAGGCTGGAGTGCGGCGGCTTAATCAAAGCTTACTATAGCCTCAAATTCCTGGGCTTAAGCAATCCTCCCAACTTGGACTCACCAGTAGCTGGGACTCCAGGCCTGTATCACCATGCCCAGCCTCTATTTGGGTTTTTGAAAGAGTCCCAGTGGCTCATTCCTGTAACACCAGCACCTTGGGAGGCTGAGGCGGGAGGATCACTTGAAACATAGTGAGACCCTGTCTCTACAAAAAAAATTAAAAATTAGCTGGGCTTGGTGGTGTGTGCCTGTGGTCCCAGCTACTTGGGAGGCTGAGTCAGGGGGACCATCCAAAAGGTCGAGCTGCAGTGAGCTATGACTGCACCACTATACTCCAACCGGAACAACAGAGTGAGACCCTGTTGCAAAAAAAAAAAAAAAAACGGAAGAGGACAGTTAGGGATATATATGTTTGCTTATGCATAAAATACATCTGGAAAAAGAAAAACAAGTTGTAGTTTTGTTTTTTTGTTGCTGTCGTTTTTTGTTTTGAGACGGAGTTTCACTCTTGTTACCCAGGCTGGAGTGCAATGGCACGATCTCGGCTAACTGCAACCTCCACCTCCTGGGTTCAAGCAATTCTCCTACCTCAGCCTCCCGAGTAGCTGGGACTACAGGCGCGCACCACCATGCCCAGCTAATTTTTGTATTTTTAGTAGAGACAGTGTTTCACCATGTTGACCAGAATGGTCTCGATCTCTTGACCTCGTGATCCACCCGCCTTGGCCTCCCAAAGTACTGGGATTATAGGCGTGAGTCACCGCGCCCGGCCAATGAGTTGTTGTTTTTCTATGAGGAAGGAATCTGGGGGAACTTGGGGTCAAGGATGTGAAGGAAATTCCCTTTTCCTAGATCCTTTTATATTTTAATTTTTCACCATGTGCATATATTGACCAATTCAAAAGCAAATTAACTCTCATAAAGCACCACAGCATGGTTGTCGACGAGGCTATTATAAAGGGTGAGACCAGCCACAGGGAAAGCTGATTAGTTTTGCAGTGAGTAGGGTGGGTCAGCCTTCACTGAGGAGTTGACTTTTTTTTTTTCTTTTTGAGACAAGGTATGGTTCTGTCGCCCAGGCTGGAGTACAGTCTTAAGAGAATCCAGGCGCGATCTCTCCTTACGGCAGCCTCAATCTCCTGGGTTCAAGAGATCCTCCAGCCTCAGCCTCCCCAGCAGCTGGGATCACAAGTGCACACTACCACGCCCCAGCAATTTTTGTATTTTGTAGAGACAGGATCTCATCACGTGCCCAGGCTGGTCTCAAACTCCTAGGCTCGAGCAATCCTCCTGCCTCAGCCTCCCGAAGTGCTAGTATTACAGGCATAAGCAACTGTGCCCAGTGAGGAGCTGACATTTCAACGGAGTGAATGAGGCATTTCTCAGGATAAAAACTGAACAAACAGAAGAGAGCAAGCTTGAGCAGAGCCCGTCCTGGCCTAGCACTTTAGCTGGGTTCTTCTGTGTATGTACTTAATTTTAAAGACAGGATGTCACTCTGTTGCCCAAAGTTCTTGAATACAGTGGTGCAGTCATAGCTCACTGTAACCTTGAACTCCTGTCCTGAAGCAATCCTCCCCCCTCAGATTCCCAAAGTGCTGGGACCACAGATGTGCGCTACTGCTCTAGCTGGGTCTCTGCAGAAGGGCAAGGGAGGAAGAGGAGGCAAGCCTGCCCGCCCACTCAGGAGCACTCCGG